GAGAAAAATTATCATAAATCATTTTTTTCAAATGGAAACCCACTTTTTTATTTCACTAGTGAAAAGGTTTTCCAATACGTTACTTTTTGAGTATACATGATCCTATACCTAAAATAAAACGTTATAAGTTATTTAAGATTTAGTTTATTTTTCTTGATTTTATCTAGCTTCCTTTGACATTAAGTCTCAGACAATTTATTTCCATCTGTCAGAACGAATTATTTGAATTCTATATTATAAATAATGCCTAAGAGTTTAAAGTGTATTTATAAAAATACTTATATTTTTGTTTTTAGTGATATCTAATATTTGATATTAATAATATTAGAATTTTAGAATTTAGAATGAGTGGGAGGGGTTAATCACTGACCTTGCCAGATCCATTGTGTCCCCTTTCTTGAATCATAATCATCATATGTCCCAGGGCTTGACAAAAGCCAGTATCTGGGACGGTTTACAGAGGGTAGTTCTCCATCTCCAATATCAGTCGTATCAAAGTTCATGGCACGAATGGTTGTCGTCTCGGCGCCTTCAGTGATAAGGTGTTCTGGTGTTTCCCCATCTTCCCCACAGAATCTGCATTCGCCGTTTCTTCTTAGTTTCAATCTACGGAGGTGTTCATTGAGGAGACTGTTAAAAACCCCGTGACAATCAAAGATTGTTCTGATTTAACTCCAGGAAGATCTTTGATTTTTCTTGGTCGTATAAGTCCTCAGAAACTTCTTCGAGTGTCTTAGACCGTTGCAAGATTCCCATTCCAGGTTGCCGATGGAGTCTTCCAAGTTCTTGAGTTCCGCCTTTAGTTGGTTACCACCTGGGAAGCAGAACGGTTCTGGTCCAGTTAGCGGAGTGTTCTTTGCTTTTCAAGCTATTTCATTTGCTTTTTCGTTGCCTTCTAGCCCTTGGTGAGCAGGCATCCAGAGTAGGAGGACTTTGTTTTCTTTGCCTAATTTATTCAGCTTCTCTATGCATTCCTTGACCAATTTCGAATTGATTGATACTGAGTTGATCGCTTTTAACGCTGCTTGACTATCAGATAAGATGGCTATTTCTTTGTTTCCGATAGTTCCCTATCTAAGATAAGTTGTAATGCATCTCTCGATAGCGTAGATTTCGCCTGTAGGATACTAGGTAAGTGCCCATTGGTTCGGAGTAATTAGCTCTCGGCCCAAACACTCCGATCCCTGTTCCTGTATTGGTTTTGGAAGCATCAGTATACCAAGTTATGATATGGTCTTTAACTGCTGGGCAAGCGTTTCGCTCTTCCAATCCTTCTTATTGCTCAATACTACATTGACATGTTTGTCAAAGTTGTAATGTTCTGGCATATCGTCCACTGGGAGTTGCAGAAGTGGTATTTCCTTTTGAGGGTGTTCCAAGCCCCTGATCTGACAATTCTCCCCAGTACTAATTCCGTTAGTGACCATTCTAACACAGGTCGCATTGGCATATCTACCAATGACAATGTGCAGTGGTGTTAAATTCAGAATGACCTCCATTGCTGCTGTTGGACAGGTTCATGACTCCTGTAGATGCAAACACATGCTAGTCTCTGACTTTGCATAGTTGCCTTGCCGTCCGTTGCTCAGTTTTGACCAGGCAACTGCTCCATAAGTAATCATGGGTCTTACTATCATGGTATACATCCAGCGCAAAATGTTAGGGGAGCAGCCCCATCTATTTCCGGCCAGTCTTCTGCATATCATGAGAGCCTTTATGGCTTTGCTGGTAGTGTTCTTAATATGCCTGTTCCACAGGAGTTTACTGTCCAGGGTTATTCCCAGGTATTTAACTTCCTGTGTTGGCAGTATTTCCTTTCCATCTAGTTGGATTCTTTTCAAGTTTTTCAGACTTCGCCTTCTGGTGAATGGCACTATCGCGGTTTTGTCTGAGTTGATACTCAGCCCGACAGTCCTACACCATCTCTCAGTGATACGGAGTCCTCTTTGGATAATATCACACAAGGTGCCTTCATGTTTCCCCCGAGCGATCATGACTATGTCATCTGCATACCCAATGCAGTGTATTCCCGCTAGAGTTAATTCATCTAGTAGTTCATCCACCACCAAGCTCCACAGCAAAGGGGAGGTTACTCCACCTTGTGGAGTTCCTTGCGTTGTTTTAACAGCTACAGTTTTGGTGCCCATCTGAGCCTCTGCTGTTCGTGTTGACAGCATTTCCCAAAACCAGCGAATAATAGTTCTGTTCACCCCTCTTGTTTCTAGAGATCGCCTGACCACCTTATGTGGTATATTGTCAAACGCCCCCGCAATATCCAAGAAGGCACAAATTGCTGTTTCTTTGCTATCCAGACTTGTCTGTATTAGCTCCGTTAATTGGTACAGAGCAGTTTCTGTGGATCTGCCTGTTCTATATGCATGCTGACTATCATGCAGTGGTTTAACCTTTAGATGATTTTCTCCAATATGGTTGTCAACTACTTTCTCCAGCGTTTTTAGTATGAACGATGTGAGACTAATAGGCCTAAATGACTTGGGATTTGTCCAGTCAGTTTTGCCTATTTTGGGTATGAAGATTACTTTTGCTCTTCTCCATGTGGTTGGTATTATCATAAATCATTTTTTTCAAATGGAAACCCACTTTTTTATTTCACTAGTGAAAAGGTTTTCCAATACGTTACTTTTTGAGTATACATGATCCTATACCTAAAATAAATCGTTATAAGTTATTTAAGATTTAGTTTATTTTTCTTGATTTTATCTAGCTTCCTTTGACATTAAGTCTCAGACAATTTATTTCCATCTGTCAGAGAACGAATTATTTGAATTTTCTATATTATAAATACTGCCTGCCTAAGAGTTTAAAAAGTGTATTTATAAAAATATATTTCATATTTTTGCTCTTTAGTGATATCTAATATTTGATATTAATAATATACCGTATGATCGAAAAAAAAAACAGCGCAAAGTTGGCTTGGAAATGATGATCGATAACATACTGCTTCTTGAACAAAGTGTCACAATATGACATGGCCAGATATATTGTTTTAGATCACTTGACGTTTAAAGTCATAGGTTACTGGTAAAAATCAAGAAAAATATACGCTTTAAAACTAAATCTCAAATAACTTAAAAACAATTTATTTTAGGTATAGGAACATGTATAGTCAAAAAGTAATGAATTGAAAAGTATTTTCACTAGTGAAATAAAAATAGTGGGTTTCCATTTGAAAACATTATTTACGATAATTTTTTAATAGCTCAATTCCATGACAGCTGCGGTCATTATTATTATGACATTCGAACAATTTAATTTTTGAAATAGATAGCCACATGTCTTCTCTTTATGGCACAGTGGCTGTGGTAATCACTAAATTTGACGTTTAGGCTATACACTGTGTATATAAAGCTGTGTATATAAAGTAAAATTTAAATCTGATTATTTTTCTTTATATCAGAAGCACGTTCTTACGGTTACAAAGAATAATTATAAAAATAAAGAATATTAATGTAAAAACGAAATATGAAATAAAATCTCGACGAGCCGCTACTGTATTTTTATCCACCCCGACGCACTCGAGTCGAGTTGCATTTTCGGTTGCAACTCGGCGGCCGAATTTACCGACACCCGTTCTTCCCGAAGGGTAGTAGGGGGCTATAGTTTTCGAGCGGGCCTTGTAAAAACGAATTACGTCATTCGGGGGGATACACGTGTCGCTCGGATTGGGCCAATGGGGGCTGCATAATCAGGGGGGGACGCGTCGGCCGATCTCGCCGCTCTTATGAATGATGAGCAGCGAATATGAATAATTTGCAACGGCGGCAGGGCCGGAATTATGTTATTTTCGTCTTTTTTTTATAAAAAATCAGTGTATGTAATTGCTTTTCAGCTGTATAAAGGGAGAGATTAATGAATGTGTGTATTTTATAGAAGAGTGTCCTTGAATTTATTTTATATTTTTCCGGGTTGTATATTAAAATGTTTTGTAACAGGCAACTTTACTTTTATTTATAAAAAGTTTATTCAAAGGGTTCTTTTTGATGTTGGTGTGATTGTATTAAAAAATGTACAGGATGATTTAGTTTTTTTATAGGATTAATTTGAGTAGTAAATTCGCTTCATATTAAAAATTCCATTGTAAACAAAAACGAATAATACCGGGTGCGTCTCAAAAGTGGCTCACCCCTGGCACCCCTGGCGCAAAAGTGGCTGTATTAAAAACACTAATTTTTAATAAAGGAGCCTTGGAAAAATAGTTTTGATCGTTTAATGTTTTTAGTGTCTTGTTCTGGCCAGTTAAAAAATGCCCAAATCGTATTTTTAGACATATCTCAATTTTTTCAAAATGGAACAAGGGTGTGGCTCATTAGGATATTTAGAAGAAGCATTTTTTTACGAATAATTTGGTACCACACACTTGGTATTTCGAGTCAAATTGTCGTTATGAACTGCATGTTACAATTTCAAATAAACCATAAGCGAAAATGTCAAAAGTTTACATATAATGTGTCATTCTATTCAGAGTGTCATTTTCTATCGAGTATAGCAAAAATATACCGACGCGACGGTGCCATTTAAAAATCAAAAGTTGTAGTCATTTCCGGTGAAACAGGAAGTGACCAAAAACAATAATTGAATACGTCAATCAATCCTAATTTATGTCATATACTAACATACCAAATCTCGTTTTTAATCTAAAAAAAAATAAAAAAGTTTAGGGGTGAGCCACTTTTGAGATGCACCCGGTATATAGTTATTACATATCCTATATGTAATAACTTTTTATTACATGGGACTCATAAAAGCACAATTAGTCAACAACTTCCTCCAACAAAATATCAAGAGTAGGAATAGTTCATTGAAGCTGCGAAAGTCGTCGAACAAAATTATAGAACAGTAAATTAGAATTGGTATTCAAGTCTCTAGATTACCAGGTTTCAGTTAAAAGTAGGATTGAAACTGTGTAAATAATAAAACAAAATCATTTAAGATTTTTTTATTTCTAAAATAAATAAATACTAGAAATATAAATACAGCTTAGCTAACTACCATTATATGTAATCAAAAATATTGTCTATTTCTCTTTTAAAAATACAAGGAGTAGAAATAGTAATTTAAAATGAACGTCCTGTATACAAACATTATTATTTGCTTCTAGTTTCGAAATATACCAGTTCTTACATGTTTAAAAATGCATGACAGTGAAGATGACTAGAACAAAACAAAATTAATTATAAAGCTTCTCATTAACTGTTTTCTGAAAGCTACTTTACTAAAATATGGCGTTTGGTGTGGTATAATAATATTAATAATAAAAACAGTCAACAATAATATTTACAAACAATAACGATCTCACAAATATTTTATTATCTACTTATTTCGTGGCATTATCTAACGTAGTCTCTTCTTCTGTCGATTCAGTGCTAGTGTTTTCTTCAACTGTTTTGCTAGTGTCTTCTTCGCTGGATTCCGACGTTTCTGTGCTATCTTCATCAGATTTATCGCTGTTTCCTTTACCCTTCTTCTGTTTTCTCAACTTCTCTTCCATTTCTTGGAATTTCATCGCCAGATATCTAAAATTAATTACATAATTATTGATTTATTATTTAATAAGATTTAAGTATCTTTATCGTTCTCAGTTATCTCTTCGGAAAAATATCATGTAAATTGTAAATACTAATTTCATAGTAAATGAAATAAAAAAGTGTTAGTCTCGCCTCGGTTGATTATACGAAAACGGAAAAATGTAGAAACAAAATATTTGTGGGGAAATATTAAATGGGTGTATGTGGGAAGGCAATATGTACACAATTTAAAATTATTTTGAAATATACAGGGTGTTTCAGAACTAAGATCCATACCAAAGTTATATTTTTTCTTATGGAAGTATTTTATTTCATTTTTGGATCCCTGAGCCTAAAAAAAGGCATTTATTATAAGGGTTAAATAAAATCTTTGGTTTTTGAGATATTTAAAGAGATTTAAATATTCATGCTACAATAGAATATATTATTAACACTCTGTACATTACTTTTCTCAGAATTAATAATAATTTCTCTTGTGCTGAGTTGGAAGGTAGAGAAATAAACTTTACTGAAAAATGTTATTGCTTCCTTAAATTTATACAGGAGTAAAAAAAATGCTTATCTATCTTAAGGATTTATTTTATATAAAAACTTCGTTATTTCAAATGCAACACCCTGTATTTTTTTAAATAAATCGAGACAGATTCAAATGCTCTTTCAAACTATACTGGATTTCATATACCTATCTAGCTCAGATTGAGAATAAAAAGCGATTTTTAATAAAGTGCCAATCAAGATGGCTGGGGTCGCCATGGCATTTTTCTAGCGACAATTTTGGTAACTATTTTCAAAATCGACCTTAGTTTATGGACATTATTATTTAAATTTATAACAGTTTACTTAAATTTACCTACAATAGTTTAATAAGTAAGTATTCAGTATTTTATCAAAAAAAATAAAGCATCTGCTGGCGGAACGAATGGATATGTTACTAGTGATTTTATTTTGTGAGAAAAATTGTATCTTGGCCTCAAAGGCTTATGCTCAAAGATATCCAAATAGGAATCTTCCGGATAAGCGTTCCTTTGAAAAACTACTTGTCCTATTTACAAGAGCTGGTAGTGTGGTTTATAAAAAACCTATTAGGCAGAAACCTGTCTACAAGTCATCGTAAAATAAATCAAAGAACTACTTCTTTGTTTTTCTTGTTAGAATGGAAATACATATTTAATAAATATATTATTTATTAAACTATTGTAAATAAATTAAATAAAAGTAAACTGGTATAAATTTAAATAAAGTCCATAAACTAATTTCGAATTTGTAAACTGTCACTAGAAAATTGCCATGACGACACTAGCCCTCTTGGGGGCCATTTTATTGAAAATTTGCTCTTTATTCAAAATCTTAGCTAGATAGATATAAGAAACCCTAATATAGTTTGAAAGAGCATTTGAATCTGCTTCGATTTCTTTTTAAAAATACAGGGTGTTGTATTTGAAATAACGAAGTTTTTATGTAAAATAAATATTTAAAATAGACCAGCAATTTTTGATACCCATGTATGCATTAAACGAAGCAATCAAATTTTTCAGTAAAGCTTCTTTCTTTGACTAAAAGTCAGGACAAAGATTAAATCTGAAAAGCAATATTGACAATCTGTATTATAGCATGAAATATCTCAAAAACCAAAGCTTGTAGACATATTTAACCCCTTTAAAAAATGCCTTATTTTGTGTCCAAGAATCCAAATATGAAAAAAATACCGGGTGTTCCATAAGAAAAAATATAACTTAGTTCTGACATACCCTGTGCATTTCAAAATAATATTAAATTATGCACATTGCCTTCCCACATATACCCATAAAATATTTTGTTTCTACATCTTTCCGTTTTTGTATAATCAACCAAGGCGAATGAGGTGCGCCACATCTAATAGTAGAAGTTTCTCCTTTTTATATGGATCAAGATTAATGGTTAGAGATGTTGGTTACAGAATATAAGCTGAAAATCACATCTACATGGATTATGGTCTAGTTTTAAAATAATTTTAGTGAAAATAATGTAATTACTTGTCCACAAGAGGTCCAGTGTAGTCTTCTGGGAATTTGGGTGACAAAGGTATGATGTATTTGTAGAGTCTTTCGTTTAAAACGTACAGCTGTGTGGTTGAGGAGCATTTTACGTTGTACCACCAATCACAAGTGAGTGCCACTTGACTGAAGATAGTACCGTTGGGACACAGGAACGAAGCTTGCCCACCATTGAGATCACAATAATGCCATACCTAGAATAATAAAGATGTGCATTGGTAATTTGATTTTTATTGAAAATATATGTTGCCTTTTTTAAATTGGCATTATAAATTTTCAATTGTTGTAAGGGTTGTTGTAAAGGGTTTATTATTTTTATGCTATGTATGTTACTTCATGTATGTGGATCTATATATGCATGATATATATCATAAATATATAATAGCTATATATTATTACCATGCACTAATGCATGATATATCTAGCGCCTAATGCTCAAATTCCCTGTGGTTAAAATTTTGTCGTAAATTAATATTTTATAATATTGTTGACTGAAGAAATTAGAATATGCGCAATCTTATGGGAGATTTCGTGGCACAAAATATGTGCGAGATGTAGGTGGCGTTACCGTCACCGGCTGTCCGAGATTTAGTTTACTTCTGCGCCCGGCGCTGATGATTGTTTACAGCGCAGCGGATGAAGAATACTGTACCGTAGTTCTGCTTTCAGTCGACAGAGTGGGTGGTTGCCGGAGACAGTGTTGCCAGAACTACGGATTAATCCGTAGATTTACGGATTTTGGGTACAGTACGCTAATAATACTGTTTTTCTAGCATTAAACAATTTACTACGCTTATAATATTATATGATTAAACAAGGAACGGCGTTAGGGATGGCTTTGAAATGAAGATCGCTGTTATTTCATATGTAAAATATTATAGTAAATGTCAATAGTTTGCCATTTCCAAGCCAACTAAACAACTTTTTTCGATCATACGAAATATTCAGTAACTATAAAAAATATATTTTTGTTGTTTATTTAATGTTTAACACGAATAAATCGTCCCATTGCTGCCAAAAGTCACTAACTTACTTTTTATTACTTCCGAGAAAAATGCGTCTAAAGATGAATTGCGTTGCATAAAGATGTTATAGTTAGTAACTATTCGGTATTAAAATAAAACATAAATAGCCAGAAATCGTAGTTAATGACTTTTGCAATCGATTCTCCGCTTCAAAACATAGTTAGTGATTGAATATGGTTGTTCGGAAAAATGTTAGTTAGTGACTTTTGGCAGCAATAGGACGAAATGTTCAATTCAAAAATGCGGTTTTTTCACCCAAAGATATTTTAGTCAAACGTATTACAGATATTATACATTTTAATACGGCAACACTGTCGCTTTCAGTGTTCCACACCGTCTTGAATATTCCTTCGCTGGCCGAATTAGAGCAAATGAGTGTTTTATGCGTTGGCCGCAGAACGAGTAGAGGCTCCACCGTACAGCACTTGAGACATAAGGGGAAATCAAATCCGCCTTGTCACGAATTTGCCCATCAGGTTGCGTATCTTCCCAATTCTTTCAATCAACAATAATTTCATGTTTCTAGACTCAGATCTTAGAGAAATATTGTGCTAAATTTTAATTTTTCTGTTGCCAGCTATCGGTTAATTAATATATCAGCCTATTTTGTGATTTTCTAAAAAGGCTTACAAACATGAACGCGAATATAGTGGTATAGTATCAACGTAATTCATAAATTAGTTAGAGAATCAAGTTTGCAGAAGTAAAATACTAAAATTTATTACAGAATAAATAATATTAATAAGATTTTTAAGAATGCGAGCGTATAGCAAACATTTCCGGTACAGTTATAATTTGATTTCCTTTAAAACGTTTCCCAACTCAATTGACGCAAGTTTACTAATGAAAATGTTAACCCACTCTGACAGGGCACGACACGTCGCACCAAAAATTCGATTTAATTTCGATTTTGACCTCTTCTCTACTCAAAACCGTTAAAATTGATGTAGAATTGCGGTTTCGATAGTTGTCAGTGTTAATTTCTCTATTCTATTTACTGCAAAGTGTGTCTGTGTAGATATATAGCGTTGCGTAGCTAAAAGGAAAGAAATTCATATCCGTTTGCATTGAATAGGACTAAGAAGGACTATATTAATATGGTTTCCACACAAGTTTTTGTAAGTTCAGGACAAGTGAGATTTGAACTCCGGACAAAATTCGGATTATGAATTTATTTATGTAAATTTGTCTGAGAATAAGCTATTGAGACGAATCAAAAAACAAATTGTTGTGCCTTCGCCGGGAATCATCCTGTATAGAGCAATAAAACTATAAAGATAACAAGCCATTTATAACTCCCCATTTGTTAAAGCTAAAATATATGGTCGATAGATGGTGACTTGATGTCTAATAGTATGGGTAGCAGGACAAGAGACGACGATAGTGGGAGTGGAAGCCCGCTATGAAACTTGCTGCAACAGAAACCCTCATCCTCGTCCAGTATTGAACGATACTAAAATTGCATACATACGTAAACAAAGTCCAAAACACTCTTGGGTTTCATCAGCAATTTTTGACAATGTTGTCATATTTTCTAATATCGTTTCAAAGTAAATATTTTTTAAAAATTGTTGCATAGACCAATTTCATTGGAAAAATCCAGTCTGTGTGGTGTTATAGTATAGTAGACTTTCTCCAGGTCGATGAAAGGCTATCGGGTGCAGTTATTATTTTATATATTTTTTAGATTATGTTTAACCAAAGAATATGTATGTCTACAGTTCATACCAAATAAACTTTTAGTCACGTGATTAAGCTTGACCGGCACAGTGTTGCCCACTTTTATATATTTTCTTTTAATCAAAATATTTTATTAAACAAAAATATATTAATTATAGATATACAGTGTGGCGCCCCACATTCGCCTCAGTTGACTATACGAAAACGGAGAGATGTAGAAACAAACTTTTTTATGGGTATATGTAGGGAGGTAATGTGCATAATTTAAAATTATATTCAAATGTACAGGGCGTGTTAGAACTAAGATCCATAAAAAAGTTATATTTTTTCTTATGGAACACCCCGTATTTTATTTTATTTTTGGATTCTTGGACATACATAAGGCATTTATAATAAGGGTTTAATATGTTTAAATGCTTTGGTTTTTGAGACATTTAAAGATATTTAAATATGCATGCTATAATAAAAAATATTGTTACCACCCTGTACATTACTTTCCAGAGTTAATTGTTGTACTGACCTTGAAGCCAGGGAAATGAACTTTACTAAAAAATGTATTGCTTCCTTAAATGTATACAGGGGTATCAAAAATTGCTGGTCTATTTTAAATATTTATTTTATACAAAAACTTCGTTATTTCAAATACAACACTATGTATTTTTTTAAATAAGTCGAAGCAGATTTAAATGCTCTTTCGAACTATATTAGGGTTTCCTATACCTATCTGGCTCAGATTTTGAATAAAAAGCAATTTTTCAATAAAATTGTAATCAAGATGGCTGGTGACGCCATGGCAATTTTCTAGTGTCATTTAATTGCTATTTTCAAAATCGACATTAGTTTAAGGATTTTATTTAAATTTATAACAGGTTATTTTTATTTAATTTACCTACAATAAGATTAATAAGTATTTATTAATTTTTCAAGAGAAATGAAGCAGTATCTGCTGACGGAAGGAATGGATATGTTACTAGTGATTTTATTTTGTATTATTTGTTATGCTCAAAGATATCCAAATAGGATTTTTTTTCTGATTTCCTTTGAAAAACTAATTTTTCTGTTTCACAGGATAGGGTGGGTAAATGAAAAACCTATTAGGCAAAACGTCGTTGGAAGTGAAGAAAATGAATTTGTCTTAATTGGTTCTTTTATAGAGAAAATCCAGTATATCTACAAGTCATCGTAATATAAATAAAAAACTACTACTTTATTTTTCTTGATAAAATAATAATAATTTTTCTTGATGTTAATTTTTCTTGATAAAATAATAAATACTGACTTATTAAACTATTGTAGGTAAATTAATTAAAAATAAACTGTTATAATTTTAAATAAAGTCCATTTACTAATGTGGATTTTGAAAATAGCCACTAACTGTCACTAACAAATTGCCATGGCGACACCAGCCATCTAGATTGCCATTTTATTGAACAATCGTTTTTTATTCAAAATCTGAGCCAGATAGGTATAGAAAACCCTAATATAGTTCGAAAGAGCAGAACTAAACCCTGAGTATATACTCTCTGTATACAATCAAATGACTTGTGAATTCAAGTTCCCTATTGATTGGAAGAAAGCTAAACTTATTTTATTACCTAAAATAAACAAAGAAATTCATGATCCAACAGCATACAGACCCATTAGCTTACTGGACGTAGAGGGAAAGCTCTACGAACATCTGATATTGGGAAAGCTAAAAAAAGAACTCTCGCAGCCCGATAAAAGTCTCTCCGAAAAACAGTACGGCTTTAGACAGGGTCGACAAACTGTTGATGCCATACGTGAAGTACTCAAAATTGCGGATGATGCTGCAAACTTTGCTCCTCAGAACAGAAGAATCTGTGCAGTTATCACCCTTGATGTGCAAAATGCATTTTCAATAGCGCCTCATGGCAACAAATCCTAGAGGCACTAGATAGAAGAGGCATCGAGAAGAACTTGATTTAGATCATATCATCATATCTTTCAGATCGGTCAATACAGATGGAAGCTGAAAATATTACAAAAACGCTAACCATAAATACTGGTGTTCCGCAAGGCTCAGTTTTGGGTCCCACATTGTGGAACATTTTATATGATGATTTGCTTAAAGTAGAAATGCCTGAAGGCGTTACATTTAGGGTTTGCAGATAACGTGAAAATACATAGTGTTGTATTTGAAATAACGAAGTTTTTGTGTAAAATAAATATTTAAAATAGACCAGCAATTTTTGATACCCCTGTATACATTTAATGAAGCAATACATTTTTTAGTAAAGTTCATTTCCCTGGCTTCAAAGTCAGCACAAAAATTAACTCTAAAAAGTAATGTAGAGGGTGTTGACAAACTTTTTTATTATAGCATGCATAATTAAATATCTTTAAATATCTCAAAAACCAAACCATCTAAACATATTAAACCCTTATAATAAATACCTTATTTTATGTCCAAGAATCCAAAAGTGAAATAAAATACAGGGTGTCCCGTAAGAAAAAATATAACTTTGGTATGGATCTTAGCTCTGACACACCCTGTACATTTGAAAATAATTTTTGAATTATGCACATTGTCTTCCCACATATGCCCATAAAAAATTTAGTTTCTACATCTTTCCGTTTTCGTATAATCAACCGAGGCGAATGAGGTGCGCCACCCTGTATAAACAGTTATTATTTACATCAACAAAACTCACCTTCTTAACAGCACTTAAGGGACATAAAGGGCCATTACTACCGCTTTCCCGTTCAAAATATTCTAATAAAGTTGCGATGAGTTTTTTACGGCTATTAAGATATCTTGTACACTTCGCATTAAAAGATGTTCTAAAACGAACAATGTTCGACAGCCAGGTCTGCTAGTAAACATTTTTAAGCTTAAATTATCACAACACTATGGTAAGGGGGTATGGGAGGGGGCTAACAATTAAAAAATCGTAACTCCAAAATTACAGTAGCTAACGAAATGCGGTTTTGAATTTAAAATTAGGAATAATATTTGCAACAAAATTTGTCAGTTTTTGAGATAAAAAAATGAAAAAATTCCTTTACTTTGAAACTCTAAGAACTGCCTACCAACTTTTTATTAACATATTTTAGTATGTTATAGTATGCATTTTATATGTCTAGTATGCAATTTTTTAATTTCAACTTGTATCTTGTATTTAAATACATTTTTTTAGTATCTTAATATTTTACAAATGCTTAGTTTGCTAAAATAATTTTACCTGTGCATATTATTCATTTTATCACATTCAATCATAATATGGACCAAATATAATGTCCGTATTAGGAGTGATGAAATATCCCTAGATGAATGAAAAAATTGTATTTATTTTATCATTTTTGGAGTAAAACTTCTTTACGAGCGAAGACACACAAGACGCGACAGGAAAAGTGGTAACGATCGGAGGTTACGAGGCGACGTAGCGTCGTAACTTGGGCCCTATGTGAGCTAAGGGGCTGAAACTTGGAATATTAGATAGATTGGAATGTAGATCTTTTCATGATATTTTGACGACGTTTCGTGCACTACGAAACCCCATCATCAATGAAGCAAATCGAAAAATCGTCCGATTTAAATGAAATTTGTTATGTTGATAGATTAGACCAAGACCAACTTAACCGTGTACGACCATGGTACAAAGAAAACAAGGTATGATCGATAGCGGCTCCAATTTCGTTAAGTTTGCGCACACCACCTGTGACGTCATACGCCATACAAAAAATATCCATATTGTTCAATTGCCACTAATAAAAAAGACCTAAAATAGGGAAGAATTAAGACATAACCCTCAAAAGTTATGTCAAACCATCGAGCTTGACATTTGAAAAATTATTTTCACATTTATCGTGTCAACTATTTGACAATTTGAAACTGGCGCGCGGAGCTTACAGACCAATGGTGCCGTTTATCACCTGTGACGTAGTGACCAACCTGCGCAATATCATACCTTGTATTCTTTGTATCATGCTGTACGACTAACGACTGTGACAGTTTTGACGTAAGAATCTTCAAAAGTTAATGTCGTCCGATCGCGACCAAGTTTGGTGAGTAGGTAATATGAGCGACGCACGGTGCACACGGGTCCCACCCTGCAAATTTGGATACAACGTTTCGTTTACATCTTCATCAGGGTGGGACTAACGATTTGATATTGAAGAAAAATGTGGGTCGATTTCGGCATAATCATTCGATTTCACTTCAAATATGCGCATATAGTGCACAAACAATGTTTTCTCCTGATTCTCTAATTTTATTTAATTTTAATATTAATTTGATTGTTTTAAACGTCTTGATATTAAAATTGAATATCTCGATCTCTATCGATCGGCCATGATCGTAATTTCGGGATAGTACGTCAAGGACAGCTGTTGGAATATAGTAACAGTACAAAGCGAATTTGAATGCTAACATTCAGTAGTAAGCTCTAGTGAATATTCTTCTAGCTAACATTCACTAGTAAAAGTTTGTTTCTAAATTAGTTGTTGAACTTTTATTGGTGTAGTAAGTTATCACTGAGCACTAACCCTGAATAAAATCACCCTGTATATGTTATAATATTTTACCTGACAATTTGTATCAGTATCGGCGAAAAATCCTTTGTATCTTTGCGTTTTGCAACTGAAACTGGTCTTGGGTATGTTGGACAATGCTGGATAATCTATTCCAGCCTTTCCTGGTGTGCCTCCAGCTGGAGTATCGAACAGATCAACACCCGCTTCGTTATCTACATCCATGGAATAATCTTGGACTATTATTGGCTTCTGCTGCTTCTGAAATTTTGTTAAATTCCGAGTTTCAATAAAAAAATATTTGATAATTTCGACTTTACCAGTCTCAGCCCCCTACCTTTTACGGTAGGGGGTCGAGACTATGATTTCTGACGTCACCACAGTTGATATAGATACTTATTATAGCATATTGATCTGGTATAGCAAAATGCTGCATACTAAATAATAAGTCCCCCCCTCGTTCTATTTGGAAAAAAATAGTTGTGAAAAATATTAGACTATCAAATGTATTCTAAGGCTCCTTGATTAAAAATTGTTAGTTATAACACAGTCATGGCACTTTAAATTGAAGTTTAAAATTCTATTTCTAAGCGATAATGTTAAAAGTTGATATGTGATATTTCAGAATTCTATGCAGATAGTCATTTTCTATCAAGTAAAGTAGAAAAATACCGAGGGTCCCCTTTAAAAATCAAAAGTTGTAGTCATTTCCGGTGAAACAGGAAGTAACCAAAAATAATTGACTTCGTCACTCAATCCTGATTTATATCATACATTATCATTTCTTTTATCTGAAAAAAAATATACAGAGTGGTCTAGCTGTATCCCGGAAACTTCGGCAGCATATTCTGCAGATAAAAATAAATAAAAAACTTCGTATAAATGTATGTCCTAAAATGCTTATTTTCGGAGATATAGGGTGTAGAAGTTTCATTTTTTCAATTTTTTCCAAATAATTTCTGAAGTAATATCAATATTCTGATGAAAATTGGTGTCTGGGAGTTCTTTGACATGAGAAATTTGATTTTGATGTCAATATGACTCCTACTTGTAGAGAGCGCCATCTACATATTTTTTAACTGGTTTGAAGAGTCATAACTTTTCGTCCGTCCGTCTGTAAAAAATATACATTTACGACATTTTTTACGTAATAAAGATCTCTTGGTAAAAATCGCTACGAGTAATGGTTCTCGAGATATTTGGAATCGAATGTTTAAATTATATGTCATCATTGACATATAAATTAAACATGTTGACTAAATAGTTATTACATTGAAATCATAAATTTAAAATGTTTTTGTGCCAAAAGTCTAACAGAAACTGTCTTCTCATCATTTTTTCGAAGAAAAATTTATGATTATTTAAAAAAAAATAAAAAAAATCCCAAATTTATCATTTCAGTCACTAATAACTATCAACTCAACATGTTTATTGTTATTTTGTCTTGACTATTTCAATTCTAAATATCTTGAGGACGGCTGCTTTTAGGGATTTTTACCAAGAAACATTTTTTACGTAAAAAATCACGGAAATGTATATTTTTTACCCAGTAATTTTATACAGGTACAGACGAAATGTTATTACTTTTCAAAACAGTTAAAACACATGTAGGTGGCGCCCCCTACAAATAGGAGTCATATTAACATCAAAATCAAATTTCATATCAAAAAACTCCAACCACCAATTTTTATCCAAATATTGACGTTACTTATATAAATTATTTGGTAAAAATCTCTCTCTCTCTCTCTCTCGAAGTAAAATTGAAACTTCTACACCCTGTATCTCTGAAACTAAGCACTTAAGAACATACTTTTTTTCGGCAGAATATGCTGCGAAAGTTTCAGGAATAGAGTTCGGACCAGATGGATATTTGAGATTTAAGTCATTAATTAATTATAATAGAGGTTTAAGAAAATCTGACCTATGAAAAACCCTACCTGTTGCAGTTTTAATGTATTTAGAATCTTCACCAACGTTTTGATACTGTTATCGATGTTATCAGGCGTTATAGTGTGCGGCAAAGCGTTCGTTTCCTGCAACTTCCTCAAAATATTCGCCAAACTTTGCGATTCCTCCGAACTTCCTTCTTGAAATACTTCAATTTCCGGCCTGGCGGTTACTACTTTAGGCGTGGCAACTCTTTCTGAAGTCGATTCAACCGTGCCATAAGCGTAGTACTCGCTTGGACCTTGGTATTCTGGTCTAGGAGACGTTACAATGGGAACGAACTCGATTTTTTGAGGTCTTGGAGTGACTCTGGAACCGTATTCCTCCTGGTTATAGCTAGGAGGTGCGATATAAGAACCGTAGTCGTTTACGGATGGTTCTATGGGGGCCTGTGTGGCTTGGTACTGAGTTTCGTATGCGTGGTCGTACTGCGTAGGACGCGGTGGATCTTGAGGTACGTATATCGGCCTGCGCAGGAAGCCGTGGTGATGTTTTTCAGGCGAAATCGGTATAAGCTGAAATAAATTTTTAATTTTTATCATTTTTAATTTTTTATACAAGACGATAAAATGGGATTTTATCGTCGACCGAAAAGATTAATTCACGAGCGATGAAATCGCGAGTGAATTAATTTCGGGAGACGATAATGCAATTTTATCGTCGTGTATAAAACAATATTTTTTTCCATAGCGAGTTACTTTTTAAAAAATATTCAGAAATTATTATTTCCAGATATTTATTACGAGTAGAAAAAATATTGTGCTAGGTTGGCGTTGGTTTCTATGTAATTTGACAAATAAATAAAGCTGTCTCGTTAGTTGTCAGTTTTGAGTAAATATTTTTTAATTCTCTTTCATGTCTATTGCTGATTGAATTGGAGCCAGAAATGGCTCAAAACGAAATAAGTAAATTACCAACAGATATTCAGGCTGAGGCGACAAACGCCATATCAAACCAATTCTATTTAAATCCCGAATTACTTATGAAAAGGAATACAAACATTTTCAAAAATGGAAGCAATTAAAAAACGTGCGAGAAGAAATCAAGTTTTTACAATATAATCGTTGTTAAAATATCATTTAATCTACCCTTGCGGTTAAAGTACTATTTTATCTACTATTTTTGATAGATATAAGGCAATTTTAACAGTTGCTATGGAAAAAAAGATATAAATAAGTGCAAAACTCAAAAGCGGTTCTGTATGATTACTATAAGTGATTACTTAATAATTACTATAAAAAGATGATATTCAAAAGGCAGTTACTCTCGAAACATGATTACTATAAAAATTGAGCTTACTTTTTGAGCAGTGTAATTTTCTTCTATAACTGGTATGGGTTTAGGCTTCCTCAAGACAAATACAGGTTGTCTTGAATAGGGTTTATCTTGATGTAGTACTATGTACGGCTTTACAGGTCTAACTCTAGTGGAGCTTACCGGTTTTTTAACTACAAAAATGCAATAAAACTGTAAATTAATACACTATTAATTTTATACCACCTAGACAACTACTGGGTTGTCTCTAAAAATAATTAACTTTACTTTTTGAATTACTAATATTTTGTTCGCAGCATTTCTAAATATACAGGGTGTCCCAGAAATAAGTGCAAGTATTCTAAGGGGTGGTAGATCTGGTCAAAAGAAATATTTTTTGTCTTTACCGTTTTTCAAGTAATTCCAAAATAACCGAGTTATTTTACTCCGAAAATTCAAACAAAAAATCCATTCTTGCTTAAATTTTGAGAACCGCTGGATCTTTTCTGGATTTTCTTTCATGTAAATTTAATCTACAATATATTTTGCCATATTATCAAGAAATTATCTTTTTTAACTTAAAACTAAAAAAAAATTCAATTTTTTTTTTGAAAATTTGGAAATTTTTGAATTCGCAAAAAAACCTCATAGGCGTGTTTCTGACACCGAAATATACTACCAGTTAAAATACTTACACTTATTTCTGGGACACCCTGTATAAAATAATAACTGCAGTTAATTTAAAATAACTTTTTTGTAATTTAACTTCACTTATTATGTATTTTCCAAACCAACCCAAAAAGTCCAATAATAAACTTCAAAGCCACCTTATTCAGCTTGACCTGCACAGCAGTGTCCACTTTTACATATTTTCTTTTAATCAAAATGTTTTAGGAAACAAAAATAAATTAATTATAAATATATAAACAGTTATTATTTACAACAAAACTCGCCTCCTTAACATCACTTAAGGGACATAAAGGGCCATTAGTACCGCTTTCCCGTTTAAAATATTCTAATAAGGTTTTTTGCAACGGCTATTAAGCTATCTTGTACACTTCGCACTAAAAGATGTTCTAAAAAGGACAATGTTAAAGTATCACAACACAATTCACTTAATCCAAAAACTCGGAATACAAAACTAAAATATCAAAACGAATGACAATGTCAGGAAATAAATAAATAAATGTGGCAACTTGACATTTTTACAGCAGTACTACCACCTGAATCCGCAGGGGAAAAACTAACTTCCAGTTAGTCAGCCCGGCGCCGAATTTGTCCATGGTTGGCAACAATGAATTAAAAAATCGCACCTTCGATTACGTAACTAAAAGCTTCATTGGTATCGCTTATAATCTTCGATTAAGTATCGCTTACTTTTCCAACTCCCAGTGGATGACATACCAAGAATTTACAACTTTGAGAAACACCCCACTGTAGTGTTGAGTAATAAAAAGAATTGGAAGGAAGAAACGCCTTACTCAGCATATAAAAGACCATACCATAACGTGGTATACTGATGCTTCCAAAACCAAAGCAGGGACAGGGATAGGAGTATTTGGGCCGAAAACCAAATACTCCGAACCAATGGGCATCCACCTCAGTATCCTTCAGGCATAAATTTACGCTATCGAAAGATGTGTACAATTTATACGATAGTCAAGCAGCACTAAACGCGATCAACTCAGTAACCATCAATTCGAAGTTGGTCAAAGAATGCCTGAGCTTCTCTAGCACACACTAACAAATTAGACAAAGAAAATAAAGTCCTCCTACTCTGGGTGCCTGCTCACCAAGGGAATGAAAAAGCAAATGATCTAGCTAAGAAAGGAGCGAACACTCCACTAAAACCATTCTGTTTTCCAAACGGGAACCAACTGAAAGCGGAATTGAAGAATCTGGAAGACTCCATCCGTAACTTGGAATGGGCATCCTCCCACGGTCTAAGACACTCGAAAAAGTTCCTCAGAACTTACGACCGCGAAAAATCAAAGGTCTTCCTTGGTTTAAGTAAAAACAATTTTCAAATTGTCTCGGGGTTTCTAACAGGACACTGTCTCCTCAACGAACACCTCAGTAGGCTGAAGCTTAGAAACAACGGCGAATGCAGATTCTGTGGTGAAAATGGGGAAACACCAGAACACCTTATCACTGAGTGCGCCGAGACGATGACCATTCGTGCCATGAACTTTAGTACGGCTGATGTCGAGGATTGAGACTGTATGATGAGAGAAGTATGTATGTAAGGGGAACACACTATAGATCTGTAAGGTCGCGGTGATTAACTCCCCTCCTAAACATTCTACATTCTACATCGCTTATAATTATTACCTTTAGGAGTGTTTTATATTACTATTGTCTTACTAAAACAGTGTGCTTACCTAATGGTGGATTGAACACTAAAGGAATACTACCCCTTGGTATTTCTAAAGTTATTTGTTGGTGTACGTAAGGTTTAGCCTCCTCCTCTTTGCCAGAAGATGTCTGGTACGTTTGAGGTTCATAATGGTACTTCTGCTCTTCATCAGGCGAAGGTATATCGATGTTTGTGGCAGTAAAGGTCTCGTAAGTCGTTTTGGTTGGTTGTACTTTGTACTTAAGTCTGTTAGGGTACTCTACAGGTCTAATCTCTTCCTCCTTGTGTGGTCTTTGATAGGGTACTATTCTGTATCCGTATGACGTCTGTTTTTGGAAAGAATGTTGTCTATAAATGAACAATAAATACGCGCTATAGTTACGGTATCAAAATAAACATACCGGGTGGTGCATCGTTGTTGGAACCAGGAAATCCCATGCAAATTTTGAATTATCCAAATATTGGCTCTCCTGTTTATTTTACAGTGAAATCGTAGATAGTTTTTTAAAGGGCTGGATATGCTGAATACACATGCCAAATTTGCACAATTTTGGACTAGGCCATTTTAAGTAATTGAAGAAAGACTGCATTTATTTTTAAATTAAAGCTGAACAGGTACCATAGCAAAACCAGGCAAATGTTAACATACCTTATAAGTTTTAATTTAAAAATAGATCCAGTTTTTCTTAAATTAGTTAAAAATGGCTTGCCCAAAATTGTTCAAATTTGGTATGTGTATTCAACATGCGCAGTCCTTCAAAAACCTATTTACGACTTGGCTGTAAAATCAACGGGAGAGCCAATATCTCACCAGTTAAAAATTTGCATGGGGTTTCCTCTGTTTCCAACACCGATGTACCACCCGGTATAATTAGTTATGCATACCGAAAAAAAAACATTCTTAAATATTCACCTACAAAATTTAAACTTAAACAATAAAAATGTACTATGCAATCCAATTGCAACTCCAATTTTGTCTCAAATTTTCTATTTTTAATTCTATTATATTTGTAACTTGGATCGGAAAAATCATATAGAATTTTGCGTAGTTTTACAGCCTTAATTAGCTGCTCTGTTAACTCAATTTCTAAATTGCAACAAGAAAAAACACACAAAATAACGGAAAATTCCTATCAGTTGGGTCGCGATCACGCGATCAAACTCGACAAGTTGAATCTGATCGCCACCGCAGAATAGAACGGCGCACAATGTAACGAAAACTAAAATAGTGGGACATTGGCATATTTTTCTTCAGTTTTTACTATTCTTGCTGACATTTTATGACAGAAATTAAATAATATGACTAGGAATTTTTGCTACAGGACGAAAAGAGTAAAAAAAGGCGTAATGGAAGGTCAAAAAATTACGAAGTTTTATAAAAAGGACTTTACAGGTATATTTTTTTATTTATGAAGAGTTTATAGCTCTTATGGACTAAAAACGTTATTAAATTACTGCCGAACAATCATTTATCTCCCGCTAATATGTCAAAACTCAATCAATATTCCTAGATATTCAAATAATCAGGGATAAATTAGATAAGACTGCAAAACTCAAAAAGAACGACACAAGTGGCAAATATCATTTAACAGTATTAAATAATATCATAATATGCGAAAAAAACGTATTCAACTTCAACAAAGGAAACCATAATACACACCTCACAAAAATTTTCGCAACACTTATGTTTTTCGTAGTATTTATTCTTGAAACTTGAAACGCTTCAAACATTTTTATGTGAAAAACTTAAATCTAAGGTCTGCCTGAGTTATGATATACTTTCCATTCCTTAACAAGTTGCTATTAATGCAAATAACTTTTGAGATTATTGTTAACCAAGAGAATTTAAGAATACTTTGCAGTTTTCCAAATTAATAAGTAATGCGATAATTTATGTGGGGTGTATATTATTCCAAAATAACATAATATATAAGGCACTTACATAAAACATGCTTAAAAATCATTCGCAATTTCTTCTCCATCCATATACAAGAGCTCTTTCGCTTCCGAAAACAAGTCTACTTTTTTTATTTTTAGAGTGCTTTGGTCGCAGATGTGAAAGTAGAGGATCTGAATATATCAATAAGTTGTGTAATATATCTTCAATAGTTTGGCACCAACAATGATGCAGTATTGAGGGTGGAGTATTAAATACATCGAAGAAAATATTGCCGGTTTGAAAAAATATTCTCTTGAGTATTTTTTCTCCAATGTTGAGATTTTCGGAATTGATGAAAACTCTCCCCCACCCCAATGTGAGGATGGTTCCTCGCCCCTAAAATAGCATTCAATATGTTCATAGCAAGCGTATAGCTTTTTCAATAAAGAAATTATAACACAAAAAATTACGGATAAAAACTACGGTCGAATCAATGGAAAACATTTTTTTCTTCCAGGTTCGGATCTAAGTGGATGAAATTTATATGTAACAGTATACTAGAAGGTTCACTCTATGATATTTTGTATATATAACCTTGCGCGAATGTAAGCGTTTTTTTGAAAGTCATAAAACATGTAGAAACTAGACTTGAAAAAAATTGGGACGTTTTTATCAGGTTTGTTGTTGGTAAAAGATCTCTCTTTACGGAAAAAATTGTTGGAATTGAACAACACAAGGAAACTTCTGAAAATAATAAATGTCATTGTATGAAATTTTTGTACAGATTTGGTAAATTAAGGAAACCATAACTTTAACCCGCCATAACACCCCGACTAAGAGGTCAACTCAAGAAATATCTCACATGGTGAGGCTCTGGGATGTCCTTTATCCATTTATATAAAAAACTTGAATTATTTTTTTTGTTTTTTGGGCTAATGTCCCGCATTTCCCGATTTCGTTACACTGTGCGCCGCCAGGTCGCTTTGTCTCCAAAACTCGATCGCGCCAATGTCAAACGGCTCATATGTATTGTATTCTTTAGCAACTTTTGGCCGCGGCCGCGTGGAGATCGTGATCGCGGTCGTGATCGCACCAGTGTGCGTACAGCTTTAATATTTTTTCGATTTATTATAATTTTCTTTGCAGTACTTTTAGTCTTTCAAATTAAAATTTGAGGGTAAAATAAAGTCAACATATTCACCAGGGACGTGCATATGGGTTATCACTGAAATATTTTTCTAAAAAAAGCGTGTACGTTACTGACTTTTCTTCTCTTGTTAGCAAAATAGTGTAAACAATTTAACGAAAGTTACAAAATGTTAAAACTCTTTAAAATTATTGTTTTTTTTGTAATTATCTTAAATACCATTATTTTTTTATTTGAAATTGCCGTAGGTGGACTAATAGTAATAATAACTGATAGTAATAATATTTTATAATAAATTAGGTAAAATATATAATTTATTAATTTTATTTATATTTTAATTTTATTAATTGTGATTAATAAAATTGCGTTTATCTCATCCAGGAGGCCGAATTCGACAGAATATCAAGAGATAACTTTTAATTGGCATTAAACGGCCTATATAATTTTGATATCAAAAGAAAAAAGTCCGTGGCGGACATGTTTTTTTTTTGAAAAATATTCCAGTGATAACCCATATGCACGTCCCTGATGAATTTTTCGACACTTTTTTTGCATTAAAATATGTAGCACTTATAGTAACTTTTACCCTCAAAATTTCATTCGAATCATTAAAAGTACGAAAGAAGTAAAAAGAAAGTAAAGAAAATTATAATAAAACAAAAGATTATTAAGACTTTAACACCCTGTAGCTACGAAACAAAGCAGAATCGGACCTATGTTGATATGGAAAATAAATATTATTTTTACGTGAGGAATCTCCCCACGAAAGATTGCACAAGTTTTTTGAAACACCCTGACACCCTGTAGGTATGTTAGGGCATCTCTACGTTTACTTATTTTTCTCAGAACATATTAAATAAAGCGAAAAATACCTTAGTTTCAATTGAGCAAGTTTATCGTAGATGGCACTGAAATCTGGATGGGAACTTTGTTCTTCTTCAGAATGATACTTCTCCTCTTCTTCGTCGTTAATAGTCTGTGGTTGATTTTGTGGTTTGACCATTGGTCTGTTGTGGAAAAATAATGTTTGATTATTATTAAGAATTGCAAGGAGTAATCAAGACATCCATACCTAAATGGTCCAGGTAATGCATTGCTCTCCAGGAAAGGTGTAAACTTAGGTCTTTGTTGATACAGTACGTCTTTAGGACGGTAGTTTTGAGACTCAGACTTCAGAGGGCGTCTTTTCTCGTATGGGAAGTCCCGGTATTGTTGAGCTGATACTCCTGCAAGGTGAGGTCTGGAAAAATGTTAAAAGCTTGTACCCAGCAGATTTCAGCTTGTTTACAAATAATTTTATATCGTTTTTCATGGATTAAGTGATGAAAGTATATATATTTTAGTTTTAGTGTACTTAATGTATTATAATTAATAAACTAGATATTTTTAATATGATTTATGAAATTGTCCTTCCCAAAAATTCAGCAAAATTAGAGGAAAATAAATAAAAAACTTCTATTGAAGAATAATTTAACTTTACGTGGCAACCTGTTTAATTTAATAACATTGGGTTCAAACAATAAACTACAGGGTTTTTAAATATATATTTACATTAGGAAGTCTATAAGTTTGATAAACGATCCATTTTTTAAATTTTACATGAATTTACATGGGATTGACTTAGTTTTTAAAAATAATAAATTTATTTATAATACCTGTTAAAAGGTTGATTAAAATAAAAATTCTCGTAAGGAAGCAGCCTTTTCTGTCGTTCAGATGGCGCCAAGGTCACGTTGTAGGCAATGGCGACCTCTTCCGTGTCCAGTGCTGCCGTGGAACTATCAAAGGTTTTCTCTGGAGTGGTACTTGTGATCGTTGTGATGGTAACTGATTCAGGTTTGTCATGGTGTATGGTGGTTATGGAGGTAACGAAAGAAACACCTGTAACAAATAATAGACATTTTATTCTTGTTTCTGTCTTTTTATACCAATTAAAAAAATTGATTCACGTAAGAATCTACCTATAAGCGATACCAATTAAACTTTTAGTTACGTTATTAAGGGCGCGATTTTTAAATTCATTGTTGCCAATCATGGACATATTCTGCGCCAGGCTGACTAACTCGAATTTAAATTTCCCGCTGAGGATTCAGCTGGTAGCTCTGCTGTAAAAAATGCCAAGTTGCCACATTTATTTATTTATTTCCTGACAATGTCATTCGTTTTGACCGTTTAGTTTTGTATTACGAGTTTTTTTTGGTTTAAATGAATTGTGTTGTGATACTTTAAACTTGAAAATGTTTACTAGCAGACCTTGTAGTCGAACATTGTTCTTTCTAGAACCTCTTTTAGTGCGAAGTGTACAAGATAGCTTAATAGCTAATGCAAAAAACGCATCGTAACCTTATTAGAATATTTTGAACGTGAATGCGGCAGTAATGGCTCTTTATGCCCCTTAAGTGCTGGTAAGGAGGTGAGTTTTGTTGATGTAAATAATAATTGTTTATATTATTATATTTATATTTTTAATTTATTTTTGTTTCCTAAAATACTTTGATTAAAAGAAAATATGTAAAAGTGGGCAACGCTGTGCCGGTCAATCTTAATCACGCGACTAAAAGTTTAATTGGTATGAACTATAATTAAGACTGTTACAATAATTGTAAAAATATTAAAATTACTAAACAAAGCAATTCATTACTATGGAAACAAACCAAAAATATATGTTATTGACGTTTGACTACGCTAAGGAGATGGAATCAGCATGCGCAACATAGTTTATTGAGTTGGATAGGAGCTGATGTTATATTATTTTATTTTCTAAAACTAAAACTTTTATAATTCATTAACTAACAGAGAAACTTAATAAAATCTTAAAATATAAAAAAAGCGAACTACTCCATTTAAAATATTTCTTTTCCATAAGTGGAGACGAATGTCAAATTTATATACAATTTGATGAATGGAGGAAGTGGAAGTTGTTTGTGTGCTATCTTATTATTACCCGACAAATCTAAAAAGGTGTATGAAATTTGTTATAAACTGTTCATTGTGTGGTGTGCCACAAGGTATGTTAAAAACGTTGCTGAAAACGTTCTTCTATCATGTTTTTAAAAAAAATCAAAAATATTAAAGCCATGAACCCTTTGGCACAAATTACCTATTACAGATGCGAAAGAACACCGAATTCCGCGTTTCGGTTTCTGTGACCTTCAGAAAGAGTTCATAGACAATCCGCATCAATGTATATTTTGCGTTATTATTTGTTTGGGTTAAAATAATCTGCACCAATATGTGATCGAGGCATATAATCTCACAGTAATTTAATAGATTGCTCGTCATATATCAGTTCGTAGGAAATTAGGAAAAAAAAGATATTTATAGTTTAAAAACATTAATTTATTTAACAAAATTTAATTAAAGATGTGACAAAATAGTTACTTTTCTATTGGTTCTATCGGACTTTTTTTGACTATATAAATCTTTATTTGTAAACTTTAAGGCATAAAATATTTTCAATCTAATAAATAATTTAATGATGTAAATAAGAGGAAATTTCTCACATGGGTGGTCAAATTCTATAGTTTCCATTATATCAAACAGCCTCTGAATGTCTATCAGTGCAAAACTCATCAAAATTTAATATATATAATTTTTCCAGCCTGTAAATAAAATGAACAAATTTTTCCACTTTCATGATCAAAGGCTTTTAAATGGGTTAATAATTTCCAGTTATCCAGAGATTCGGATTCTTTTGCAAATTTTAGACAAATATCACATTGATGTATTTGAAGACCCTTTTTAATGATGTAGTCAAACATAATTAAAGGCATTTTGAGTTGAAAACATTTCTCAGAGGCTGTTTGATATAATGAAAACTATAAAATTTGACCACCCATGTGAGAAGTTTCCTCTTATTTACATCGTTAAATGATTTATTAGATTGAAAATATTTGATGTATTAAAGTTTACAAGAGATTTATATAATCGAAAAAAGTCAGATAGAACCAATAGAAAGGTAACTATTTTGTCACATTTTTAATTAAATTTTGTTAAATAAATTAATTTTTTATACTATAAATATCTTTTTTTTCCTTATAAATAAACACATTTGCATCCCATTTTAAATAAGATATACAAATTACCAAAACTTAGAAATAACAGTTCAAAAGTTCAACAAAAATCCTACATGCGTTTTTAAAAAGAAACATATAACCACGCACTATGTCATTCCAGCAAGCGAATACGACACAGCATAGGTTTTCGGACTAAACGACTGGTGTATTTACACCACTCAATAGGCGTGTCGGGTTTGCCGAGCGATTTGGGTAATTTGTGCCTTTGGTCAGAGTATTCAACGTTGAAGATTACGATTTTAATCAATAAAAATGTTGAAATCCGATATTTTAGCAAATTAATTACATTTTTGAAGAAGAAGCCTGTAGGATACCGTTCCAAGAAATCAAAAATTTGTACTCGACAGGCATTTGACAAATTTTTAATTGAAGCCCAAGATAATAAATATCTAATGATGAAACATTACCAGTGTTTAACTACATAAAATTTATCTCTGCTTACTTTTATTATAAATATTATTGTAGATAGTTGCAGTATTTGGCATTGCCCCTGCAATGCCAATGCTTATCAGGGACGAGTTGTAAGTTTAATTCTACGCTGTGTTTGTCATAATGTGGATCAACCTGCTCTCACTACCGGTTTCGGAGCCCTACTCCATCATCAGGTGAGCCTGGGCAGATCCACAAAATGACAACCACAGCGCAGAGATAGTTAATTCCGACTTGTAGGAAAGTGTCGGTTAGATATTAAGTCCCGAACGGGAGATAGCGGCCTGCGTGCAATGGTAGTACTTTCGTACCACCGGGGTGCAACTATCGATAGTAAAAGGATGGTAAAAAAGAATTAAATTTCTTTATAAGCAGTTAAGTGGCAAGAATCCTTATATAATTTTATTATATACCTATACTGCAAGAAATTTGTTTTCTATTTTATAATTTGGCTTGCCTGATAAAAGGCCTTTTACCATCCTTTTACTATCGATAGTTGCGCCCCGGTGGTACGAAAGTACTACCATTGCACGCAGGCCGCTATCTCCCGTTCGGGACTTAATATCTAACCGACACTTTCCTACAAGTCGGAATTAACTATCTCTGCGCTGTGGTTGTCATTTTGTGGATCTGCCCAGGCTCACCTGATGATGGAGTAGGGCTCCGAAACCGGTAGTGAGAGCAGGTTGATCCACATTATGACAAACACAGCGTAGAATTAAATTTCTATATAAGCAGTTAAGTGGCAAGAATCCTTATATAATTTTATTATATACCTATACTGCAAGAAATTTGTTTTCTATTTTATTTATTATGTTGCCCAGATGCGGAGTGCGGTAGGCAGATAACATCACGTATCGGGCTTTTCAGTCACAGTAAAGCTCATGAAAAGAAAAACGCCTTGTATGACCATCTTCTGATGCGTGTCAAATATTCGTCAGCGAGTAATGGCAGTATGTATGTATATGTAGTATATGTAGAAAAAATGTTGTGTGCTGAGTGCAACACATATGCTTTTTATATTTAAAAACTACTCGCTGACGAATATTTGACACGCATCAGAAGATGGTCATACAAGGCGTTTTTTTTTCATGAGCTTTACTGTGACTGAAAAGCCCGATACGTGATGCACTCAGCACAAACATTTTTATAAAATTGTCGAGATATTTTTTCATATTTTGGTATTTTATAAATTGGTTTATAGATATTTATACTGTATAGTCTAAACATATATATCTCGCGAAGCACGCTTTAGAATTTTTACGAATCAATCCAGTCACAATAATTAATACAAACAATAAAATAGTAATAACTACACCACCGGGGCGCGAAAAAAAACATTTATTTCGACAAACGTTGACAAACGGCTTATTAGCGGCCACAATTTCGGCACTAATTCGCGTTGATTATTTTTCGAACGGTAAACTGAAACAATTCGCTTCGCGTTTGACACGTATATCTGGCTAATTTGGCCCCAGTTAATTGCCGCTATTGATGTAAAAAGGGGCGTTAATAAATGCCGGGATTTAAACGCGTGATATAAAGAGAAAATCGTATTTTCCGTGTCGCTTTTTTTGGTTCGATCATTTTCCATATCGGTGCCCTTTTAATCCCGTTTTTTGTTCAGTTTATCTTAGTTTATCGAGTTTGGAATAGTATTTAATTTAAAACATTTTTTTTATTTTGAATAAAGAATAGATCTCGCAATTACAACTCTGCAACTGCAAGGGCTTGTACAGGGTGGTCCGAACTCTATTCCGGAAACTTCGGCAGCATATTCTGCAGGTAAAAATAAGTAAAAAAGTTCGTATAAATGTAGGTCCTAAAATGCTTAGTTTCGGAGATACAGGGTGTAGAAGTTTCATTTTTATTTCGACTTTTTCCAAATAATTTGATAAAATCTGAAGTAGTGTCAATATGTAAATGAAAGTTGGTGTCTGGGGTTTTCTGGACATGAGAAACTTGATTTTGATGTCAATATGACCCCTACTTGTAGAGGGCGCCACCTACATATTTTTAACTGGTTTGAAGAGTAATAACTTTTCGTCCGTACCTGTATAAAACTACTGAGTATAAAAATACATATTTACAAAGTTTTTTACGCAAAAAAGGTCTCTTGGTAAAAATCGCTACCAGCAACCGTTCTTTAGATATTTAGAATGAAAATAGTCAATACATGTCATTATTGCAAAAAATAAACATGTTGGGTAGATAGTTATTTGACTGAAATTATAAATTGGGAGCTTTTATTTTTTTTAAATTAATTATAATTTTTTTTTCGAAAAAATGAAGAGGTAACAGTTTCTGTAGTACTTTTGACACAATAACATTTCAAATTTATGATTTCAGTCTAATAACTATTTAGTCAACCATGCT